GAGCCATCTGACATGGTCCCCTGGAAGAGCAGCCTTTGCTCTGCTCTTACTGGCTGTGTCCCCTCTCCAGCTCCCACTGAACTGATTTACAGCCTATACTCCATGTTTCTTAGTATGGAATCAGATAATATAAAATAGCTTATTAAAGCCGGGCGTTGGTGGCGCATACCTTTAATCCCAGCACTCGGGAGGCAGAAACAGGCGGATCTCTGTGAGTTCGAGGCCAGCCTGGTCTACAAGAGCTAGTTCCTCCAGACCAGGCTCCAAAGCAATTCAGAGAAACCCTGTCTCAAAAAAAAAAATAGCTTGTTAATATTTTTAATATTGACCCCATGTTGGGATGATGCTTTTTGGCACATATTAGATTAAATAAAAATATATATTAAAGTTATTTTCATCTTTTTGTGTATGTGTGTGTGTGAGAGAGACAGAGGGAGAGAGAGAGTTGCTGGAGGACTTGGAGGTCTGCCTGTATGCTAAGCAAGCACTTACTATTGACCACATTCAGACCTTCTTTTACATGTTTTGTTTAAGTTGGCTACTAGAAAGTTTAAAATACTTTGCAGGGCATGATAGAACATAGCTATCATCCAAGCACTTAGAAAGTAAAGGCAGAACAGCAAGAGTTCAGGGCCAGCCTGGGCTACACAATAAGTTCAAGGCCCAGCCTGGGCTACATGAGACACTGGCTCAAAAAATCAAAAGTAAAGTAAAATAATTTTTTTTAAAAGTCTTTTCTTTCTGTTGGATGGCCTGACCATCAGTATTGTATGCAGATGGGCAGAGAGGGTTAAGCTCCTAAAAATGAACCCACTGTCACCTGGGAAAACCTGGTTCAGGGGAGGAATGGAGGTGGGGAGAACTGAGTTACCCCAGGTGCTGGAACCCAGAGCTGATTAACAGGATTGAGGATGGAGATCCAGGAGCAGGAGAGATGGGTTCTGAGGGAATGTCTGTGAAGTGGGGTGGGACCCTCCTGTAGCCATGCCCAGGCTGTGGGAAGGGCTGTTTTGGGTGAGGTACAGGAAAGGGTATTGTGAACTTGACACAGGCTAGAGTTATCCGGGAAGAGGAACCTCAACTGAGAAAATGTTTCTATCAGATTGTCTGTGGGGAAGTCTGTAGGGCATTTTCTTGATTAATGATTGACGTGGGAAAGCCCAGTTTACTGGGGTTGTGCCGCTGATGAGCAGGTGGTTCTGGGGAACAAGCCACTCCTCCATGGCCTCTGATTCAGTTCCTCCCTCCAGGTTCCTGCCTTGGTTTCCCTAAATGATGACTGTGGTCAGACATGCAAACCAAATAAACCCTTCCCTCTCCAAATTGCTTTTGGTAGTCGTGTCTTTATCACAGCAATAGAAACCCAATGAAGACACCAGCTATGGTGGTGCACATCTGTAATCTCCACACCTGGGAAACTGAGGCAGGTTTGAGGCCAGTCTGTGCTACACAGAAAGACCATGCCTCAAAAATTTTTCCCATGGTTTTCTTTTATTCTCATGCCAGAGTCTCCTGGTTTTCTAAGTCACAGACTGCTGACATCTGCCAGGTAATCTAGGTCTGTCCTAGGCAGTGTCCTTGTATGTCCTTGTGGTGCCTAGGCTCTTGCCTGTCTCCCAAATCACAGGTGTGGGTGACCAGAGCCTAGAGGTTTCAAGAGCGTTGTATCTCTGGGAGTTGGAGACTGCTGGCCTGGCCTGCGAGGTCTGAGGCATCAGAGCCCCCAAACTTTTGCGTCCACATTTGGATATGGACTTTGTTCACAGGGCTCTGCTGCAGCTGTGCCAGCTCTGGACCTCAGGGGCTGTGCCAGGAGCACCACAGGTGCAAGTTTGGCTAGCTGGCAATGACAGGATGCAAGTGTGAGAACAGTGTGCTGGCAATGAAGGGGGGAATTTGATGCCAGCTGCCTCCAAATGACTGGTGTTGTAAGCCCACAGCTCAGTTAGGCCCCCTCACTTCCTGCTGGTCATCACTTAAATGTCACCTCCAAGATGTGAGGATGCTTCCCGGGTCCTTCATTTATTTATTCTATTATTTTTATTATTTGAGTGTATATGACTGTACGTTCCAGTGTGTGTGTGTGTGTGTGTGTGTGTGTGTGTGTGTGTGTGTGTGTGTGTTTTATTTTGTTTGAACTTACCTGAGGAGACCAGAAGGTGTCCAACTGGAGTTCCAGGCTGTTGTTAGGCACCATGAGGGTGCTGGGAGCCCAGCTGGGATCTTCTGCAATGCAGCCACTGCCCTGGCACCATCTTCTCTTAGTTAGTACGCAGTGTATGGTGTGGGGTAGATTTGAGAAGAGGTTTCTCTGCAGAGCTCAGACCAAAATGTAGGTGTGTGAGCCAAATAAATGTTGTCTGAAGCCCCTGAGTTTGGGGATGGTTTGTTACACAGCAACAGAACTGGACCAGAAGTCTGGGAATCTAAAACAAGCTTTTCATTGTCCTTGGTGGTCTTGAGGTAGAGGCAAGAGGATGAGGTGTTCAAGGCTATCCTTGGCTACATAGAAGGTTGAGACTAACCTGAGCTACATGAGGCCTTGTCTAAAAACAAAAAGAGAGCAAAAAGAAATAGAAACAAGTAAGAAACACAATTCTTTGATTTTTTCCCTATGAAATAGAGAAATTTCTCAGTCACTCCTGAAGACCATTAGCAAAATAAATGAGATCATGGGATGATACAATCAAGATACTTCCAACTGTTCTAGACAAAAATCATCAACCCTCCCTATATTTCTTCATAGGCAACACTGCATTTCTAGTTCTATTTTTTAGATTCCTTTTTATCTATGTGTATGAGCGTATATATGCATGTATGTATATACATGTGTATATGGGTGCCCACAAAAGCCAGAAGAGGGTGTTGGATGCCCTGGAACTGGAGTTATAGGTGGGTGTGAGCTGCTCAATGTGGGTGCTGGGAACTGGACCAGGGACCCCAGGAAAAGCAGCCAGTGCTCTTAACCACTGAGCCGTCTCTCCAGCCCTGCCTAGTAGCTTTTTGACCATGGTGTTTGCACACTTTGATTCCAGCACTCAGGAGGCAGAGGCAGACAACCTTCTATGAGTTTGAGGCCATCTTGGTCTACATAGTGAGTTATAGGACAACCAGAACTACACAGTAAGACTTTGTCTCCAAAAAAATTATATTTATTTTATGTATGCATGTGAATAGGTGGATACATGCTTGCCATAGTGGACATGTGTGAGGGTCAGAGGACAAATTTCTGGAGTCACTTCTCACCTTCCACAAAGGTGGGTCCTAGAGATGGAACTCAGGTTGTCAGGCTTCATGGCAAACACCCCATCCTGCATAAGAGCTCCTTAAGCCCAGAGGTAAACAACAACAAAACAACAAAAGAGCTTCAAGAACTCCCTGAAGCTGACTAGTTTCACTAGGCCTCTCCCTCCCAAAGTAAACAGCGGCAAGCTGCAAGGAAGACTCTCAGAGGAGAAAAGCTGCAAAGAGGAGTCTGAGACCAGCTGAGCTGCCAGAAGAGGTTCAGACCAGAGTCACTTGGAAAGGACACTCTCCAACCTGTTGAGCTGCCTGCAGGCTGTGCAGTATCCTTCAGGTTTCCCAGCTCCTGTGAGCTGTCACTCACGCTGGGGTGCACCTTGGCCATGCAGTTGTCCTTGAGTCATTTCTGCTCCTGTAAATAACCCCTCTCCCATATTCCTGTAAGTAAACTCAATAAAACTCATTGATTCACCAAGTTGGACTTTGGTGGTATCCGGCCTGCAGTGGGTTCCCTATCTGCGGAGAGTAGACGAGTATGTTTTGTCTCCCCAGGAAAAGTTTTATCACATAACATGCCTAACATACCTTTACCTACTAAGCCCATCTTGCTGGACGCCTAATAGCATTTTACACACACACACACACACACACACACACACACACACTCCAACTTGAACCCAGGTTCTCTTCCATGTCAAGTATAAAGGTCTGCTACTGAACTGCACCCTCATGGTTACTCCCTCCCCCAATAATTTTGGTTTTGATTTGGTTTGGTTTTTGAAGCAGAGAGAGTCTTAACTGTGTAAGTACAGTCCAGGCTGACCCTCCTGCCTCAACCTTCCAAGTGCTGGAATCACAGGCATGAGTAGCCATGCCCAGGAAAAGTACCTTTAATATTTTATTTTCTTAATTGGCTTTTAAAAAGAAACACATATTTTACTTTGTGTCCAGAGACTGAGCTCAGGGTCTCCTTCACACTAAGCATTGGGACTCTGCCACTGAGTCACACATCCCTCCAGTAATCTCTTTTTTGTTTTGTTTTGAAACAGGGTCATGCTATGAACCCCAGGCTGGCTTCCAGCCCTGAAATTTTCATGTCTCAGCCTCCTGAGAGCTGGGATTATAGGCGTGCACCCCACACCTAAAATGGAATTACATTTTCAGCAGAGCACAGGCTCTGAATTACGCCACCCTCCTCTCCCCGCATGGGCTCCCCAAAATGCGCAGGCTACCAGATTGTCCCTTTCTCATCACAGACACAGCCCAGTCTTCAGACCACAAGGGTCGGAGCAGAGCTGGTCCCCAGTGCAGCCACTACCGTGTTTACAAGCTGTTTCTCCATACTTGGCTGACGTAACCCCAGTTCTCACCATCCTTCCTTGGGGACAATGACGACTCTGCTTGTTTTTACTTCAATCTCTTGTTTTAAAAGTTGCCTTATTTATTTTCAAGTCTTTTCTATCCTCCACAGTGGTGGCCCTCACATAAAAAAAAAAAAAAAAACTTTTTAAAAAAGCCATAAAAACCCAGGTATTTGCTGCATTGGTCTCTTAGCTCCCAGGAATCGGGAGGCTCTTTTCTTTTTCTTTCTTTCTTTCTTTTTTTTTTTCTTTTCTCCCTCAGTTTATTTTTGTTTAGGGTTTTTAGTTTGTGTGGAAACACTTTAATCATATATGAGAAGCAGCCCCGCACTGCCTAGGGCATCTCCTACTCCTGGGCCGCAGTACGATATCTGCCCCCCACACACGTGGTGACACATGGATGTCACCAAGCGCTCCCACTTCTCCCATCTCAGCGGGTCCCAGGCCGCGAGCTCCCTGGTTGGAGCGCTTGTGGAAGAGAACGGAACTGCCAGAACGGTTGCCAAACTTAACTCCCTAGTCTTTGCTACCGGTTCCCTGGGGACCACGAGGTCCCTCAGTTCCCCGAGGGTGGATTCTGGAGACATGCCTGGATTGAGGGACCGGTCAGCCTCCAATCCCCAAGCTCAGGGAGGACTAGGCAAGGCAAACGGGACCCCTAGGACCACAGACACCCC